AGTTATGCCGTAACACACATAAAAAAAAAATAAAAAATAAAAATATACCGACGAATTGAATACCTCCTTCTTTTGGGAAGTCGGTCAAAAAGTAATCTAAGTTTTCTTTCAGACTATCCTGTACGTCTATCACAAATTTTATCGAGATCCGTTCATTTTAGACTACAAACTCCAACAAATGTCCATCCATCCATCTACTTATTACAGAAAGAAATGAGCAACTGAAATGTTGTAATACGATATAACAAATTCTGCTTTCATTTTAAATTTGTCTGTTCGTAAATGTTATTTCCAATACAAATAATCATAAATGAAATTTATTACAAAACTACATTTCGCCGTTGTGGAGAAAATAGATCTTGAACGAAGTAAGGAGAGACAAATGGGGCAAGCCGAAAAATGTGTAGGGAAATTGCTCTATACATTACCGATGATTTATTTCAAAATGGATTGTACAACTTATGCGGCGAAATTGTTCATATCCGCGTTTGTCGACATTGTAAATATTTTTTGTTTACGTTTTTGAATTCAATATGTTTTCGAATGTACAGTCAATTATTTTAATACTAGCAATCGCCCGCGACTTCGTCCACGTGGAATTAAAAAAGTAGCCTATGTCATCCAGGCTATCCTAACATCTATGCCAAATTTCATCGAGATCCGTTCAGCAGTTTAGGCTACAGACTCTAATAAACAACCATCTAAAATTTCACATTTATAACATTAACTAGTAAGATTGTAAGGGTGTTTCTTTTTTTTTTTCTATGCAAAGTATTAATTACAAAAGCACATGTAATTAATTATTATATCGTGTTTTCTTTTTACTATAAATCACTATAATGTTAATATTCTTATTATTATTCATTTCCATTTAAAAGTAAAAAAAAATCTCATCCTAAGTTTTGTAATAAATATCGAAAACATAACATTAATTTTAATTAATTGCTTTATTACAGTTATGATGCTAAAATAAGCTAAATTTAATAAAGACGTTCATTAATCTTTGGAATAATAAGATTAATTGCTCGTACTTTGTAGCAACACGAAGTTAATCCCTCAGAAAATCGGTAAAAATAATCTTTTATTATTTTATAATTATTGTAAAGTATTTTGATTAGAGAGAAAACGAGATAATAATTTACATTAGGATATTTTATCACAATTTTTATACATTTTTACTTTAGTATTTAAAACCCTTATACTAGCACGACAAAAACAGCATCGCGCAATTTTCACAAAGACAAATACTTGTTATATTGTTTACCAAAACTATATCGTTTAGTAATAAATGGATAATAATTTACACACTTGACTTGTAATCTACAGGTCTTGGGTTCTAATCCCGCTGTACCAATATGACTTTCGATTTTTCATATGTACATAATTTAACCGACGTTCTTACGGTATAAGAAAACATCGTGATGTCTGGACATATCGGCGAAGAAATTCAAAGACATGTGTGAAGTCAACCAACCCACTTGGCCAGCGTGGTTGACTATGGCCTAGTCACCCTTATTTAGGGTAGGCTCCGAAGCGCTCGGTGGGGACTTTAGAGAGCTGGTGATGATGAATTTACATTTAGATCGATATATTGGATTGTCTAATAAATTGTTATAACTATTTTAAACAATTATCTGTCGAATTTTGTGGATTTTTGTGTGTGTGTGTGTTGTGCGTGGTACAATTTGGGTGAGATTGCATTATTGGATAACCTTCAAATAACCTTTCCCTTTATCTAGATCCAATGACTAAGCATATTGACAGTTTTATCGAAACGCAGAAATTCCGAATCCCTCTATAACGGACATCAATCAATCTGACAAGGTGGTTCGTTATCAAATGACACATATCGTGGGCGTGTCAGTTTTTATTAAAATGTTGTATTTTGACAGACATGTCTAATTTAGGCCCTAAACATGTGGTTATAAATATTTTCCAGACGTTCCGTAGCTGCGGATTACGGAAATGGATATAAAGGCGAATGTAGTGTCATTGATTCGTTATTTTCGAGTGAGACGGTCACTCTGTTATTTTTTAGTCTATGTTAAATTGAATGATTCGGTTGCTAAAAGGTCTGTTTCTGTCAATAGAACTATTAAACATTTTTCAACAGTCTTTAACCAAAGTTATACTTAATCATTCGTAAACAATGTATTACATTTAATATTACAGTATAAATATAAAAGGATATCTTTAAGTAACTTATATATTTCCTTTTGTCTCAGGTAAAAGCGTTGGCGGGACGCCAAGACACACAAACTTTACCTTTATTGTAATGAGACATTTAGTTTTTGTCTTGTTTGTAATAATCCGTATTGTTTATTAAAGTATCAAGATGTGTCGCAATGCGTGTATCTATTACCTTTAAAATCTTATTATCGTCTTATGTCAATTAATCGATTATTATTTTTTTATTTGATAGCTAATGCATTTAAGATAAAAGATCCCGCTCGAAGGATTACTGGTTATAATAAAAAAATGTAATAATTAAAATTTTATAAAATAAGATCGATAAGAGAGCAGATGTTAAACATTTCTAAGGAAAAATTAACTTTTTTAAAAGTCTAGAAAATATGTTTTCAGTGACCAATCCAAGCAATCCCGGGGCCGGTGGTGCCTTAACATTTTTTTCTTAAAAATAATGTAAAGTTAAGTGAAACCGCGAAAGTAACATTACTAGCTGTATACCGTGACCAACTAATATTGATACTTTGTAATTCTTGTAATATAAACCGTTTTGTTCATTAGTAGATTGTAAAATGAGTTACAGTCATTCAATAAATTTCAATAACAATTTCCAACCTTAACGAAGTCAGCATGTATAGTAATGATGAATGTATATTTTACTTTCATAATTAATTACATTTCTCTTACAAGTGGCTCTTTTAAATAATTAATACGGGTATTTTACGTAAAATTCGTGAAACTAGGCGCTGCGCCCTCTAGCGGCTACAAAGTTGACCCCTTTTATAACAAGTTATATGTCGAATTTAAATCAAAAGCAGGCATAAACTAGTGCACTTACCACCACTATGTAAATAATTTAATGGAATTCTTATTTAATATTTATTTCATTAGCCTTTACTTTCTATAGGGTACATAATGTATGGGTCCTCATTAAACGAGGTGTTTTAAATCCTCTTTAAAAACATGTTTTCCCATTGGCCCTATAAAATCTACAGAATCATTTGGCCCAATTAAAAAAAATCCCATGGACCGGTTAATCGCTATGACCATTGGTGTAATTGGAAACATCCTTTATATAATAAGTGTTTTAGAGTTGTGTTACCATATTCGCTTAGAAGGACCATAGAATAATAATTTTACCTATAACCTGTACAATATAAGTATTTTTAAAAAATATGCTGTCATTGCAGACATCCTACGCCACAAAATAGTGTGGGTTCCAGCTTTATTTTATTAGTATAGATTCTACGATTTAAAAAAAATGTATTGGAATTCTTTATTTTAAAAGCAATAAGGAAGCGTCAAAATGTTAATATTTAAATTCACTTAGACGACAGAAACGAACCAGTCGTAGATAAAAATAGTAATGGTATAATAAAACAACGCTTCGATATCCCCTAAATAACTTATGTTCCCTTTCGTTACAGGTAAAAGCGTTGGCAGACAGCCAACTTCAAGAAGCGCTTCCTTCTTAAATAAGTAAGTCATTCTAATGCACGCCTTGGATCTAATAAAAAGAACTAATGAAAAATATATCAAAACCAAACTCTGTACTCTCTAGGCCTTCGTCCGATTGTAATCTATATCTTTCATACATAAAATAAAATTGGAGTGTCTACTTGTAATTAAAAAAAAATACAGATTTCGGGAAGATAATGTATCTGCGTTGCTGATAACGAAAATCGCATTTAATTTTTTTCTTATCTGTCTGTCCGCAAGCCATGTTCCGGGTAATCTTCAAAATGGCTGGGCCGATTAAGACCGGACTTTTACTGAAGGGTAGCTGACAAAGATGGGCATATTATAGGCTGTTTTTTTTATCTTAGTATTGCGTGGATGAAGTTGTGGGCAACAGCTAGTTGAAAAATAAACTTAATTAGTACCCTATGTTCCCATGTTCTCATGTATGCCGAATTTCAACAAGATCCTTTCTAGAGATACTTACTAACATCCATCCATCCAACATTTAATATTTATAATTAACTAGCTGCTGCTCGTGACTTCGCCCGCGTGAAATTTGAAATAAAAATCTCTGTTACTCACTGATAAATTATCTTTCTAACGGTGAAAGGATTTTTAAAATTGGTTTATAATATTTGAGTTATATCAATACATACAAAAATACAAATCTTTCCTCTTTATAATATTAGTATAGATAGGATTACTTTGTTGGTTATTTTAATTAATTTAAGTTATTTATGATAAAACCTTAAGCAGTATTAAAACTTTTTAACATTAATCCCCGTGATACCTGGTATCATTGAGGTAGAAATTTAACTTAGAACTGGAATGTATAAGTTTTATTGGAAAATAAGAAAAGTTAAGCCGCCATTTGTAATGACTTTATAAAAGGAAATGAAAGGAAAAGTATCGACAACTTTAAAGACTTGACTAATTGGATTTCCTCGTACTAAATGGTAATAAAGATTTTACTGAATAAAACTTATTTAGTTTAATTCGTTTCGGTTATTATGATTGTGTAGGTACTTATTTTATTAATAAGTCACCAATATATCGTTCGATGCGTCTTTTTACCGGAATACGGAGGTAATATTCTGTTAATTTTTAAAGCATAAGAGCGGGCGCACACTTTTGAATAAATTACCGCGTAACTGTTGTGCGATTGTCGATTGTTTCGCAGCGAATTCAACTGTTTAGTTGTAACTAAAGTTTTGTGCGCACCTCCATATAAGCTCCTACGAATCAAAGTTGTGAGATATTTTAATCAAAGGAACGTTCTAAAAACTGTCACTCCTGCGCACGACGCCTCTACACTTTATATGACAAAATACGTCAATTTAGTTGACTTAAAGTCAATGGAACATTTTACAACCTGTACCCATTTATTGCTTTCATAAACTGTGTAAACATACCTATGAGAAATCTGAGAATAAATAATCAATTTGAGAAAACTTTAACTTGCTATCAGTTAGGTAAAAATAATTTAAAATTAAATGGCTTGTAGCAGGAGAATTCCACCCTTCTTATCTTATTTTAGTTCATATTTGCTGTTCAAATATGATGCTTTGAGAAAGGAGGTCAGCTTCATATTTAGTTAACGGCCCACTGCCGGCTTTAGTGCAACGCGTGTTGCATACCGTATAATAGGATAGAAATGGTATATTATTTTTGAGTTAATAAAATGTCGGACAGCGACCTAATTACGCGTAATTTTACGTACAGTCTAAATAGGAATTCAAAAGAGACAAATTGGGAACCTTTTTGAAAGCTAATTTAAAATAAAAATGAATTTATCTAATACGTAGATGATAATCACTGACATTTAAAATAAAGATGTTACTATTAATGAATTGAAAATAATGTTTTTTTTATTCAAATCCGGGTGTTATTAAGCAGTATTTTGCAAATAACCAAAACTTATAAAAATCAAATCCAGACATTTGAATGCCAAGTAACTAAAAGTCTACGTAAGATTAAAAAAATAAAAAAAAGAACTGTCTACATTCAATGACAATCAGCTATTTAATTTTTTTAATGTAACTACTACAAAAAACAGAGACGTATTGTCCACACGAAATTAATTTCTCTAAACGAAACAGATATGCATTTGTTATCCGAAAAGCACTCAAGAGTATATTTTTAAAATCGGCGACTCTATTAATAGCCGATACTGTCGGCGCAGTGAAATATTGATATTGGATAAATGATGTATCGCGATAATTATTCCGGTCACGAGTTGAATGCAAAGATATTCAAATATATGAAAGAGGCACAACATTTCACTTGAAACAATTTTCATAAAAAATCATCAATACCGCCATCTATTGATAGATCCTTAAAACTACACGGTATTATAATCAAATGTATGTAATAACAAGCAATATATAAATGTTTACTATTGCCCATCGATTCCCGATGCAACTAAGTATTGTGTTTTGTGTTACATAGACGGCAATACTGTCGAAAACATCGACATGTACGATGACCCGGTCGAAAATAATTCGCACAAAAATTTAGCCTGACGATTTCACTCAAGCCAGTGAAATTCATATTTCTAGGATTATATCGCAATATTATTATAACAATATTAACGCGCATGAGCGATTAACGTGTTAAGCAAATAAGCGTAATAATAAAACTAACCGTGCAAACCGCTGCAGTTATGTACAACGGTCAAACAGCAAACCGGGCCGTCAGCTTATCCCGGCGCCGGCGCCGCGGTGACGCTGCGACTCTGCGACAGCGAAGCTCGACGCATTCGGATGTCCCGCAGGAGGTCTCGCAGCGACACGTAGGGTCTGGCGGCTGACGCACCGGCGACGGCTGGAATAGTCGGATTATACTATTAAACTAACTGCCCTTGCCTTGACAAAGTATTGAACTAAATTTACTCTCCATTGGTCTCCTTTCGCTCACTTATTCCGCAGAATCGGAAGATAACATTTCGATTTTTCCCTGAATTTGATTGTATAGCGACATTAAATATTACAATCTGGATACCCTAAATTTGGAACTCATCTATTTGAATGTCGGTAAATACGAGTATAGTAATTCTCGCTTTAATAATACCCTTAACATATATCAGTATCTTTTAGTATTCGGTTATTATTAAATCGACATTAAATTGAAGCGCACGAGCAAATAACGGGTTATGTAACAAAGATCACCAGCTCACTATACGTCCCAACTGTGGGGCTCCGGAGCCTACCCTAAGTTAGGTGTGACCTAGGATAGGTGTAAAGTAAAAAAAGCGTAATAATGAAAGACATACCGTGCAAACCGATGTAGTCATGTACAATGATCAAACAGCAAACCGGCCCGTCAGCTGATTCCAGCGCCGGCGCTGGTGCCGCGGTGGCGCCGCGACTCGGCGACAGCGAGGCTCGGCGCACTCGGATGTCCCGCAGGAGGTCTTGCGGCGGCACGCAGGATCTGACGGCTGGCGCAGCGGCGACGGCTGGAATAGTCGGCATATACTTTTTAATTAACTGCAGTTTATTGTTTATTTTGGTAAACCAAAAGGAAGATAGAAAAGTTAGAAACAAGAAAATTAAATTTTAAATAGTTAGCAAGTTTTTTTTAAATGCTTACGTACAAAGTCGCACGCAAATGTTAGTCTTCTATTCAGTTATTAAAATTAGTGTTTGTATGTGATATCAAAAAAAAAATGAAAGATTTAGCGGAGATGATGTGTTTGCCTTGCTGATAACTAAATACGCATTTAAAATCATTTCATATTGTCTATCTTTCATGTAAATCTGTATGTTTTAGAAGACTTCTTCTCTTTGATTCTATTAGTATCGAAAAGACTTCTAGAGGGTAAGTACTGACTTAGTGCCTAACTGAATTATCATCCTCATCATCATCATCATCAACTTGCTCTTGTCCCTATAGAGGAGAGGCACAATATCAGCCGTCATATCTGAATTCACTCGCTCCTCAAGCATATCCTCTTTCTGTAACCACATTCAATCTTAACACTTTCTGGTTTATGTCCCTATCCCCTGTTCGCATAACATAACAACGCTATCCTTTTGCTTCTTAATTTCTCGACCAATGGCACTACTTTCAAACTTAAATACACATTCTTAATTTCATCTATTCTTGTCACACTACACATCGGGATTAAATAACATAGAATCATCTACTTTCTTATGTAATACATATGTAGTTTAACTTTATATAACAGAGTACAACATTATTGTAGTTGTTGTATTTCAAATGAGCTTCATTTTAATAGCAGTAAGTGCACTCGCTCATATTTGTTTGAAATTCTGTTTTAAAAAATGAGCAATGAAAAAGCAGGCCAACTATTCAGAATGCGCTGGAACGCGAACTACACAAGATATAACTTACAACTAATTATTATAATAAACTCATAGTGATAGTGCTTTTAGAGGAAGTTTGAAAGTAACGCCAGTGGTAAAATTGAGAAGGAAAAGGTTAAGATTGAATGTGGATGGCTACTAAGATAGAGGAAGACCGAAGAAAGTATGGATAGATTGTGTGAAAGAGGATATACTTAAGAAAGGAGTGTATTCAAATATGACGAATGATAGAGATGTTTGGAAAAGCAGCACAGACTGTGCTGACCCTCCATAAGGGATAAGGTGAGGTGGATGATGATGATAGTGATAGTGCTTTAGGTCCCAAAAATATCATAGTTAGCCCCATGCTCCGCAATTTACAACCCTTTAATATGTACACCCTTGTTATAATGAACATTTTAATGAGTTTTTGTACGCTAAACAACATAAAAACCCTCTTTCTTTGTGACACCGATTTTGATGAAAAAATGAGTAGTGCGAAAGGAGGGCAGCAGTTTTCAGTGCATTGCTCGCCTCAAAAGAACAACTGCACGACCATTGCGCCAGTCAAAGCATTCATTAAAAAATAAAAGTCTTGTATACACTCTGCTTCAATCAGTGGTGACGTGGCCTGATGTTGTCTCGCTTTAAGTCAACTAATGTTAATGTTTTCTTCGTGCATTTACGAGTATATGGTGTTTTGTTTTTATT